GGAATCGCGATCCTCGTAGGGCCGTAGCTCTCCTTAATGCGCTCCAGCGGGGTGGCGCAACGCACGACGAGAGAAGCCATGCCGACCATCTTGCGAATCTGGTGCATCATGAAACTCTGGCCGTGGACCTTGGTGGAGACCCATTCGGTGTTGCGGATCTGGATCGGCTGCATGTTGACCTTGAAGGACTTGATATGCCGCTTGGCTGACGGGTCCTTGAAGCTCTTCTGGACGGTGTAGTTGTGGAAGTTGATTGTGCCGCAGTACATGTTCAGGGCCTCTTGAAGCTGGGCGAGGCGCTCGGGAGTAACTCGGTAGCGCCTCTTGGCTGCGATGTAGGCGGCCTTGATGTCGCGCAAGGCAAAGTCGAGGGGGGTGAGGTCCCTGTTTCTGGGCTTGACGCTTCCCTCGGGGACCTCTGCGGAGGTCTTGTTATCCTCGGTGGTGGCAGTCTCGGCTGTTGTCTCTTCGGTCTTCGTCTCGGGCCCCGGCTTGGCTTCGTCTGCCTGTGCGGTCGCGTCTTCATCGGCGTGGATTCTCTCCATCACCTTGGCCTTGGTCTCGGGGTCGAGCTTGTCGAGGATCGGCTTGATGTCTTCCTCGTCAACCTTTCTCCAGTATCCCTCCACATCGGCAAGCTTCTTTTGGAACTCCTCGTAGTGACCCTTCTCCTTCGCTGCCTCAACCAGCTGCTTCCACAGCCAGCTGTCGGGATGAGGGGGCAGCAGGCAGTACGTCGGCATGAGGTACTCGTACCATCTCGAGTCGCAGGTCTGGTAGCAGCTGAAGGAGTTGTTGGTGCGCTGGATGCCCCAGACACGGATCTGGTCGGGGAGGGCGGCGTTGATCTTCTCGACGATGTCCTCATCTTCGATAATGAGCTTCAAGCTGATGACATTGCCGGCGGCGTGGACGCCCTTGTCGGTTCTCGCACATCGGACTAGACTCGACTTCTTGTGGTCGTCGGCATTGGCCTTCGAGATGGCACCCGCGGCAACAAAGGCCTTGAAGAGGTCTCCCTCAATTGTCTTCTCCTCATTGTTGATCTGCATGCCCTTGTAGCCCGTGCCCGAGTATCCGACCATGACGGCAACCTTTCGCTTCGGCTTGCGTCCCTCGGCGGCGATCTCTTCGGCAGTGAAAGGGTTCTCGGTAGTCTCGGGGTTGCCATCCTTGTCTACCTTTCTGCGCTTGAACTCTTGGTACTCAGAATTGCGTCCGCGTTTGTCTGTGGCCTCACGGCTATTACCTGGTTAGACATCGTTGGCGCGAGTTGCAAACACAAAGACAAGTCAATTGGCAAGGACCAGACTGGACAAAGCTCACCTCCACGCTGAGCGACCGACATCGTGTTTCCGCTTCGGCCCGCGCGACTTCCCGCCGCGCCTGTTCTCGTCGCGGCTGTCGCCACGTCGGCCCTCCTGTGATTTTTCCACTGCAGAACCGGGCTGGGCTGAGCTCTCTGCGCGGGGCTCTGATGAAACTGACGGCTTGTTGCCGGTTGGGAGATCGGCTGGTTGCCTCGTGGGAGGGCCGCCGGCCGGTTGAGGAGCATCATCGGTCGCCATGTTCGAATTGAGGTGGCGGACGTTCTCATCGTCCGTACAATACAGGTGGAGTTATTGCGCCCGCCTACTGCAGAAGCTCTTGTCAAGAAATTTTTCTGCGAGCTGCAAGGCTGCGGGACGCGGCGCGGAGCAGCGGGGCCACTCGGCTGAACACCGGCTGGCGGGGTCTCTTGAGAGCGCTAGCCTTAGATAGGCCTAGAGGCATCTTGCCCTGCACAGACCTCAATGCACCTCATTTCTATCTCACTCTCATCGCTTTTCACGCCTCAATCTCTCACTTCGAATAATTGAGTTCTCATAGAGCATGAAAGCCGATTTGGGTATGTCTTCAACACAGCTTAAACTGCCCTTTGAGGCTCCTATCTTATCAGAGAAACACTCGGGCTTGGGAGGTGACTCTTTCCACTTTCACGACAACCTGACACGAGTTGCGCCGTCTGCCGTCAAGCTTGGAGGGATGTGAAGCATAAATCTGACTTGCGGCCAATTCAATGTGGGTATGCTGTCGGACAGAGATGAATGCGATTGGTCTGAGATTCAAACCTCATGAACTAATACGCCAATACGATGCCATAACCGATCTCAAGCTCTCTTCACCTCGCCTCTTATGCCTCTTGTGCCCATCTTGCCCAAGCATACTCTTCTCTTTCCGATCTCAGACTCGGAAACAGACACCGCCAAACTTTCTTCCTATCTGGCTTCTTTCAATTGGTCTCGCACTCGGTCCCGAATCACATAATTTCAGAGCATCGCAATCCGAACGTTCGCTTTAGGCTTTGTTCAGATCCGAACCGGTCTTGTATCCACCATGCCAAAGCACAGAAAGTCCCGCCTCGGATGCAAAGAATGTAAAGAACGAAAGGTCAAATGCGATGAATCGCAGCCAATCTGCATCAGATGCAAAACCTCGGGAAGGAACTGCTCTTACCAAGAGCTCGTTAGCAGCTTGCCAACGTCACCGGCTCGTACGCCTACACACCTATCCACGCCCCAAGCTCCGAGTCCCCAATCCTCGGTTTCCTCCAGCCGTCATTTGCAACCGCCCTCAGCAGTACCGGATTTGAATGGCGTACGTACGTCATTGAATCTATCAGACTTATTTGATGACTTCTTTTCGGAACGCTTCAGCTTGTTCCACTTCGACCTTCTCCTTTTCTTTAGAGGCCCTCTGACGGATGTCCTCGTCGCTCTGCAGTCAGAAATGGGCCCCATCATGCGTCTGACGTATACTGAAGCATTGAAAGCGCCATACTTGATGGACCAAGCACTAGCTTTCACGGCCGCCTACAAGAGCACAGTCGCTAACGACGAAAATTCAAAGGCGCTTTACCTCACGCAGGCAATGAGCCTCCAGACGAGAGCCATAGGTCATCTGGATATCGGGGGCCTGCAAGTTACCGAAGGCAACGTCATGGCGCTGTTCTGCTTCACCTTACTGCTTGGTCAACAAACTCTCTTCGAAGCCTTCGCCGCCGCAACCTCCATACCAACCGTGCTTGACAGACTTGTCCAATGCCTCACACTGCACCATGGAATCCGGAGCATTGTTGTGGAATCCATGGGCAAATTCCATTTCCTTATGCAGGAGCTTCTCCCGCACAATGCGGCATATTCTATGGAGACCGGCACACAAGTCATTCATGGCACCGAGTGTGATAGCTTGCTTCAACGACTGAATGAAAATGAAATGAACGAACAAACAAGAGGTATCTACATAGATGTTGTCAAGACCCTGCAGTATCTTTTCGATTTTGTGCGGTCTGAGGAGAGTCGCAGGCTCATTGTCATTCAGGAATGGCCAGTTCGAGTGTCACTGGAGTACATCAAACTGCTCCAACAACGACGCCCAGAAGCCCTGGTTTTGTTGTCTTACTATGCCGTGCTATTACACTGGACAAGAGACTACTGGGCCGTTGGTAGCTCTGGAGAATTTCTCATAAGGGCAACTTCAGATCACCTTGGGACTTACTGGAAAGAATGGCTCGAATGGCCGAATTCGATGCTGAAGGAAGACGAGATGATGGATACAGCATAGCTGAAAATTAGCGGATGATGATGAGGAAGGCTCATTGAGACTCGAGAGTTGACGACCGAAAGGTTGCATAGTTTAGAATAAGTATGCATGTATTATGTCTAATGTACATGAAAGAAGCGAAATGTAAGTTCTCATCGCGAGTTGCTTTGATGAAAAGGACCCTCGTGATGAATATAGAAAGAAAACGGTTCTTTAAACCACTGCCATCATGTGTACGGCACTATCAGAGCCCCTGGAACATTGGTGCAGCCCTCTTGGTGGTATTAGACTTCACGGGGCTGTCAGAGCAAGACCAGCACTCTGCCTTCGAAGCATCTCCACAGCCGTCATTGATGATGGAGTTCTGGGGGTATGGGCACAGAATACGGTCGTGCGTCGCATTGCCAACAGAAATCTGAATGGGCGTCTGATCGGGCGCGGTGCCGTTCTCAACCCAGTTGCGCAGTTGCTCAAAGAGGCCAGTCGGGGTGCCGCTCACGCCCCCGAAGCAGTGGCCCAGACCGGGAGCCTCGAAGTAGCGGTAGAAGTCCTGAATATCGGGGATGACTTCGTTCACGGCATTGTAATAGTCTTCAGTGCCGCCGGGCGGGATGATATTGTCAGCCTGTAGACAGGATGTTAGCTTGCTGATGACCTGGTGCAGAGTTCTGGTGATGTATGCGTACCAAACCGTGAAAAGTCACCATTTTGCCCCCGGCAGCCTTGAACTGCCTCAAGTCGGGGTCGGCGGTCTCGACCAGTGACTCATATTGCTGTCGACCAGAGTACACGAGCGCATCATACTCCTCGCGGCTCATAGCCGTCAAGTCAAAGGTTTCTGTCGGAACGGCAAGGCTGATAAGGAGCAATGGGCAGGTGACAGAATTCGGAATTGTACCGTTGCGCCATATACAAAAGAGAGATCCCTCTACTGCATTTAGGTAGTTGTGGGTACATATAGTTTCCGTCAGCAGGTATCGTGGGCTGGCTGGCGCCTGCCCTGGGCGAAGTGGGACAACCGGATTAGTCATCACGGCCGGTTAAGGTGGGGCAACCACCCAGGCCGTCCCCACCTACTTCGATCGGCCCCTGCCCACAATGTAAATAGGAAGAAGAACAACAACAGCAATTATCACGGACATCGACGTGATTGTTGCCGAAGATACACCCTCATGAGGAAATGTATCACGCCTGTGATACCAACAGTTTCGTTCTTGGCAACAAAAAGCTTGAGCCACGCGGTGCCGAGGTTAGAGGGCTCATCGACGCAGCCCTTCTCACTGCAGCTCGTCAACACAATGCCTGGCTGGTTGTAGGATGTCGGCTTGTTGCCCGTGAAGTCGGCCCCGGGCAGGATACCGTGATACGGCCGCTTGTCATCCGCGGTGACGTGACCGTGCCACGTAGCATTGACAACCGTCGCAGCGGCCTCGGAGATGATCTGCTGGGTTCCGTTCTTCTGGGCGCAGGTGATTGATTGGCCGACGAGAGAGAAGAGGTCAAAGGACTTGAAGCAGGCCTCGATATCGGAGATGACTCCGTCCGTAACACCGTCGAGAGGATCGCACTCGGAGGTTGCTGTATTCACGATGGCATCAAATTCGCAAGGGTACGGAAACGCGCCGAGCTCGTTCATGACTTGATGGGGCCAGTAGACGAAAGTTACTAACTTGTTCCAGTTGACGGCCGGGGCGCCCGCTACAATGCCATCGTAGATATCGGGGTAACGCTGAGCGAGCATGAGGCCTTGTCGTCCACCCTGGGAACAGCCAGCCCAATAGGAGTACTGAGGGTCTTGGCTGTAGTAGCTCTTGATCAAAGACTTGCCAATGATAGCCTGAGGTATTGTTAGCAGATGGATTCTCAGTCTCCAAAAGATTGATTTGGGAGTATGGCTCATAATTACCTCGTCCATGAGAGAAACGGATGCCAAATTCTGCAGGTTGTACAGATTGACGTTGCCAGGGCTGTTCAACGCCCACGGACTAGGCTCATTCGCGGATCCGAGGCCGGCATCCGTCGTGATGGTAGCAAAACCTTCCACAATAGCTCCATTCATCGCATTGTAGCTTAAGAAGAAGCGGCCAGCAACCCATCCTCCTCCGCCCACGGCCATGAAGCGCTCGTTCCAGGTCTCCAGAAGCCATGCCTCGGTGATGAGCTTGTCGTTCTGGCCCGGGTGCGTATACGTGATAGTAACATTGCAAAAAGTTGCGTTCTTCAGTTCGACGGCCGGGGAGGTGTATCGGAATGCCGCAGGGACCGAGGCGCTGTAGTTGGTGACCAAGTTTGCCTCGAGAGACAGGGTTTCGGCTCCGTAAAGGACTGGGCTGAACTTGCTGGGGATGCAGCTCTGGGCGAGGGAGAGAGACATCGCGATCGGAAATTGAGCTTGTGAAGCTCGAAGTGACCAGGAGAAGCGCGACTTGAGATGTAAGGTGATGTGATTGCTAAGAATGTCGAACATAGTTTCTGTTATGGCGACTCAAGATGGATTTTATATGTCTGCCATAATGGTGAGAATTTGGATGCCCAGAGTTCCATCGTCTCCGAGAAGATGGAGATCTCCATGATCGAGGCTCAGCATCTAGCCAAGGTTGTAAACCAAGCCTCGGAAAACTAGCATCTGCCACCTTGTTGTCGGATTTGGAACTTTGGGAAGTCTTCGGACAGAGCGTCGTATGATTGGATGCTGACACCCCGCGGCGGCCTGAGTCACTCACCGTACGCCGGACCCGGGTACCGACCGACGCACGCCGGGCTGACATGGGACTTTGCGCGGGATGTACTCGGATTCAACAGTGGGTCGCATTGAGTGGCTTAGAAGATGTAATGACGACCCCGTCTTCAGCCCATTGCGAATGCTTCTAGAAGTCACCAGGATTTGCATCCACATGCAGTGATGTCGGTAATTGAAGTACGGAGTACTAGGCATCTCCGTCTTTCGAAGGAGAATTTCTTCGGCTAATGCGGGGGGAACAGCGGATCAGCATGGTTCCCAAATAGAGGCTAACATTACAAATATGTCCATATAAACAACAAAGGCGCAGGGCTGTTAGAAGCGACAAGTCACAAATACATTCAGCGAACTTGAAAGATTCTATTGCAAGGTCCAAGATTTGGATATTTGTAGGGTAGTCTGACTCTAGGTTGCACAGCGCATAGATGTCGCTCTGGAACTATTGGTGTGCTTATTTCAATCGCATCACTAATTGCACGGAGCAGACTTTGCGGCTGTATTGCGACTCAGAGCTAAACATTGCATTTGTAGTCACATCACTGCGCATTGCTACTTCCCCTAGGTATCGAAACATGAACAATGATCTTGCCCTTGGCATATCCCTCCCGCAATCTCCTGTAAGCATCCGGCACCTGCTCGAAGCCCAATGTCGAATCAACCACCGCCTTAGTTTCTCCCTCAACCATCAACCTGCCGATACGTCGGAAATAGTCCGCGGTGTCCTGCATGCGTACGAAATAGAATCGTTCTCCTCCCAAGATCTTTGGGCAAATGATCTTGCTCAACATTGAGAATGATCCCGAAAGCGTGAGACTTTTTCCAACGCCCACCATGACGAAAGTTCCGTTTGGCTTCAAGATGGCGCTGCTGTTGTCGTACAGCTCGGAACTGCTACCAACGTTGTCGATGATCAGATCAAAGACCTTTCCCCGGTCCTTCAACTTCGATAACATGTCTTCTTTCCTGTAGTCAACGACTTCATCCGCGCCAAGCTGTCGGCAGAGATCGATATTTTTGGTGGAGCACGTCGTCACAACCTCAACGCCCAAGGCTTTCGCCAGTTGAATAGCCCATGTGCCTGTGCCGCCACTCCCTCCGTTGATGAACACCTTGCCACCAGATTGAAGTGCATCTGGCATCAGAGACTGCCAGGCTGTTGTCGCTGCTGTGCCAACGGCCGCGCCTTGATCAGGATCTATGCCATAGGGGAGGGGTGCACAGTGAGCTACTGAGATGACAATGTATTCTGCCAATGTGCCTCTTTGGCCGACACCAGCATACCCCCCGAAAACAAGCTGTCGATTTGAAAGCTGGAGTTAGAAGGATGTGTAGCCACGACGCGGCCGCAAAAGTCCATGGCGGGTGTGGCAGGGCGTGCGACCATCAGGCGTCCGATGACAGTTGATTCAGGGACTTTGTAGTCTGCCGGGTTGAGCGATGCACTGATGACCTCGATAATGAGCTCGTCTTTTCCCAAATCCGAGGGGCTTGGCATGGGCGCTGAGTTGTTGAGAGTAAGCGAATCCTCAAGCTTGCCGTTGATGGCAGAATACTGCCAAGCTTTCATGGTGTCACCCATTATCCGTTGTTTCGGGCTCTGCTGTCAAATTATAAAATACTGTAATGCGGGGTTGCGTCTGCTGGAAAAGAGTTTGGATTAATTAACTTGGCAACCTTAAACACCATCTGGAATTTATATGTCTATCGTATGTAGTAAATTTGATCATGGATCTTTGCCGGCTGTTCAACTCCGCGCAATTCTAGGTCTAGGTTGTTGCGGAGCGGAGTTTTTTCCAACTCCAACCAGACGCTGAATCAGGTAAAAGTGACCCGGTATTGGCAATTCATCCGAATTAAGCTTATCTTCCCGGTATGTTTCCGAATATGCTGGGAAGGTTCAAATAGACGATGAAATCCACAAATGTTCAAATCCATTCCAGTACCTTACATTACTTAATTTCCAGAAATACCAGAGAGCGCCCTGTTGGAATAGGCCTACATTAGGCAGCAGGAGGTTGCTGCCGCGGTCCGTTCCAGCCACGGTGGTCCGTGTGGCTCAGCCACACGAGGGTGCTATACCCCAGACTTCCTGCCGCCGCTGGCACCTGGTTAGACTTCCACTCAAGAACAACAAGAACAAGCAATATCACCACTACAGTCGGTGATCGTTGCTACCCACGATACTCGAGTATTTTCCTTTTCCACCTGTGAATCCAACACGCCCCAATTGCAGAGGTGACTGCTTCTCCCTCACTGCGCTTCTTCACTTGCACTGGCGGAGCGAATTGAGCACAGCGAAGATCTGAAGCAGAGACGCCCGGGCCAGCTCAGGTCGCTGACAACTGAACGACATGACCAACGGACAGGGGCGTTTTCAGATGACGGCAAACGAAAGGCCTCCCTAGCGATAGCGGGCTAGGTCACTTATTATTATGTCTGCAAAGTTCTGCAGTCAAAAATTATAGCGGTTGTTCCGTCATCGCATGAGCTGCCCAGCATGCAAACAACGGGAGTCTTCACGGACGCGGCGGGACCGGAGTTACACGCAGCGTCTGTCAACCGTTGAAGCGTGCTTTCGTGGAAGTATGCCGTATTCCCGAGTTCGTCCCTTCATTTGAGATCCGAAGCGCGCGGCGCAGGCGGGGAATAGACTTTCTTCTCCATCCTTCGCGGTCTAATCCCGGGAGGTTGAGGTCTTCTCCGGTTAGTAAGCACAGAACACGCACGACACGGTACCCTAAAAAGGAATCATTCTCCAGTTTTGGGGGGTCCCTTGGGTCCTGAAGGGGGATTTAAGTCGTTGCCTAGTGATCCTTACGGAAACGTGCTTACGCCCGTCGCCGATCATCCCGTGTTCTCGTAATTTCTGCCGGCACATGGTGAGACCCGGAAGGCTTTAGTGACAATTAGTCCCGGGTAGCGCTGATCCTACTCCGGCTGTTGTGATCCGCGATTGCGTGTATAAATCATAGAGGTTCTCACGTCAAACCTCGGATGATTATAATGTGAGCGTTCTTCGTAGACGATAGGAGGTTTCTCTCGCCATTTTCAACATCGCTACAATCCTCGGGAAAGAATCAATCATGGTTTCTTCACGCTTCTTGACGCTAGCTCTCAGCACATCGGCGTCGGTCGTGGCAGCTTTAACGACACCAGCGAGGAGTGAGACAGCAACTGCTCAATGCAACAAGGCCCTGCCGAAGGGTCGCGCACCTGGTAACGAATACACGATTCCTTACACCGACAAAGAGGGCCGGTCAAGAGACTATCTCTTGTTCCTACCTCCAAAGTACTCCACAAAGTCCAATAACCCCATCATCTTCTCCTACCATGGTGGAACCAGGACACCAGAGTCGCAGCGAGATCTCGACCGACTAGAAAGTCCATACTTCAATACCGACCACATCGTGGTTTATCTTCGTGGATATGAGGTAACTAGCCTTGTAGTGAAAGCACACGAGACGTGCTGATATGATATCACAGGAACGATGGGAAGGCACTCCAAATATCACCAAGAGAAACGACATTGAGTACACCAGCAATGTTTTAGACGATCTTGAAAAGACATACTGCATCGACACGAACCGCGTTTTCATGACTGGAAAATCCAATGGTGGTGGCTTTGTCAACTATGCTGCATGCCACAACGAGCTTTCAACGCGTTTCGCTGCTTTTGCGCCTGTCTCTGGCTCGTACTACGTCGAAGGTGCTGAGGGTTGCAATCCCAAGACCGTCGACATCCCATGCAACCCAGGACGGTCCAACATCCCCCTCATTGAGTTCCATGGCGGAATCGATGGAACCATTCCTTACGAAGGTAACCCAAGCCGCCGGGGCGCCTGCTTGCCTGACGTATTTCACTGGGTGACCGAATGGGCTCTTCGTGATGGTCTCAACGAGATGGCGTGCGAGAAGAATATCACATCGCGTGCGCAAATGTATCGCTGGGGCTCAGGCGACAAGAAGGGCCTCGTTACTCACGTCTATGAGCATGACGTGGATCACAGTTGGCCGTACACTGGGGAGAATGCCGATAACAAGGAGCACGGAGATGGTCCGGCATCCTACAATGCGTCTTCATATATTATGGACTTCTTCAGCAAACACACACTGGCTTAGGACAAATAGCATGTTCACTACTACGGCCTAGATCTAGATCATAGTAATGACATTATAACATCTCAGATAATCACTACTTCAAAATTCGCAGGTCAATTCTGTTGTTCTATCCTCCTCCATCACCGCCTCCCCCTCCTCCGCCTCCGCCATCACCACCACATCCTCCGTCTCCGCCGCCACCGCCTCCATCCCCTCCACCACAATCACCACTATCAAAAGCCACATAGACTCCATCGAAGACAAAATACTCGCCTTTTGTTCGTCTCTTTCTCTTCCTGATAGGATTGGTGCCGCCAAGCACGAACTTTGCCTTAACTTTGGCAGGGTGGCCTGGTGGAACCGCAGCCGCATCAGCGACGTAGCCGTCTCCTCCCAGCTCATCCATGATAAGATCTTTAGGACAATCTGTGCCATACTTCTTCGTCCACTCAACCCTCGTGTCATTGAGGAATATGCCTGCTGCAGCAGCCGACGTGATGTGCTCGTAGTCGATAAGCCTCCTTGCGACGCTGAAGCTCCACACCCAGTAACATCCCGGATAAAGCCGGTGCGTATGCCAAAGAAGATCGATAGCCAGGGTCGGAGGCACAATGCAGCGGCTCCTCAGCAAATGAGTTCCTGACTTGGACCGGAAGATCGTATCCATGTCATACTCAAGCGGGCGTGAAGTAAAGGTTCCCTCGGCAGGCCGTCCAAGCAACTTGATGAATCGTTCGTAATCGCCAGTTGAGCGGCCGAGACTCGTGGCAAAGGAAGTATCACTGTCCCTTGCCAAGAGTATCGTCTTCCAAAACGCAATCTGGCTGTTCAGAGTGTCTCGTAGGTCATTGAGAGTAGGCCAGGGTGCCAGCTGACACAGTTCTCCATCCCTGCTGTGTAGGTTATTTTTGACACAGACGTCCCGCCTCTTCCCGATCCTCACATCCGTCCACTCAGACAAACTCCATTGTTTTTTGCCCATAATGGTACACCAGGCAATTTCACCACCAAAATCGTGCATCATGATCGCCGGGTCAGCTTTAATCTGCAGACATGGCTGCTTGTTCGAAAAAGGTGAAAGCAGCTTTGACTTTCGCTCGGGTTGCCATGGTGGGTACCGCCACAGCTGGAAGGATAGCCGCGGACTATCGCTCCTCTTATTGTAGAGTTCCCATTTCTTCTGGGCCTTTCTGTCGGACCATGTACCCGAGTTATAGAGGTCTAGTAGACGCTTGGCTGGGAAATGATGATGGTTCAGGCCATAGTTGCGATACTTCCCATCCCAAAGATACCGGTGAAATTTGCCAGGGGATAGAAGATGGCAGTACCAGATGATGGCAACGTCCCTACAAGTACCGGCTGTTTAGAGTTGCCACATGGACGCTGGTCTAATTATGGAAACTCACCATGGGGGTGGATAGTCATGTGGCGCAACGCCGAAGATGCGTAAGTAGCGGATGTAATTGACATAGCGCCATTCTGAGTATGCTAGAGCTTCGTCTTGGATACCACCCGCATCATCATGTTTGAAGTACGGTATGAGTTTCAGGAAAAGCTCAATGATTTGGATATGGCCCTGCACAGTGATTAAGATCATACCATCCCTTGAATACCCCAAGTCACTTACGGCTGCGGCGGCTTGAAGCGAACTCTTGATCTTGTCCTTTGGCCAAGGGTCTTCAAATACGGACGGCATGTTGCAATTTTGTATGTTGATATGATTTATCGGGCTTTACCTGGTGTTGTTGATGGAACATGGACGGTAATCAGGCATTTATCTTTGGTCAAGAGCGGGAATGCAAGGGTCACGCATAATATCTCGCGAAACTGCCTGCCAAGTCGCTTGTAAACCTTGACAGCGGCGCAGATTCCGCGCCGCTAAGCCCGGATTCACCTAGTCGAGCGCTCCATCCCACGGCGCCGAAGCTGCGGTAAGAGAATCTGGATTAGCGTCTGGGAAGCCGATGGTATGCACACCGCCCGAGAGAGGAGGTTCGGGGTCATGCGCGACATGATTGCCCTGAAAGGGCGCGCAAGGCGGATTGCTCGCCCTGTTTTATGCCCGTTCTCCGAAGCCGGTTGGTGTCTTGAATCGACAACGGCTGCGCCTCAACACCACATGCAACTGCTTTCAGCTCGTCGATCACTGCCAGGGTAGTTGATGGCTACGATTTGTTTCGCGACATAACTTTTGTGCCTATTTAATGGTCTCCCAAGGAGAAAGGAAACTGGTAATGTACATCGACTTGAATAGCAGGAAATCTCGAGAAGAAACATCTTTAGTAAGTCCCGATCCTCTCTACCCATGACGGTTGAGCCGTCTGCCCAGGCTTTCGATAGCTTGACTGAACGATGTGATCCGCTGCCAACTCAAATCCTTCGAGGCGTGCACCTGATCCATCCAAAGCCCAGAGAGTGAGCGCGACGGTCTTATTGCCGTTGTAGTTGAGGATGCCTTCGGGGACAGGGAAGCGCGTTTGCGGGCCGAGGTAGTTGACTGCATGGATGTTAGATATACATGTATGCACGGTAACGATAGTGAGATGGATTGAGGAGATTTACTCACCGTATTTAAGTCAAACCCCCCACTTCCTGGCACCCCCCTGTTTCTGGCACCCACAAAAACGCGAAAATCCACCACAACCCAATGCCCACCCCCAACCTCCTTTTATCACAACATTTTCAATTCGCGTCCAAATGGGCTCATCTTTTGCACATACCTTCTTCTATATCTAATGCCTCAATATACCGAAGATCAGCTTCGTCAGGCTCTCGAGGACATCTCAAACGGCAAGAGTCAAAAGAGAGCCTCATTGGAGTATGGGATACCACGATCAACCCTCCAACTACGTCTCCAAGGTGGTCAGACTAGGAAAGTGGCTTTTGCTGACTGGCAGAGGCTGTCTCCTGACCAGGAGAGTAAGCTGGCACAATGGGTTCGCATTCAGGCTTCGCTGGGCCTCGCACCAACGCACCAACAGGTGAAGGAATTCGCAGAGCGAGTTCTGGCTGCTGCTGGGGATACCAAACCACTGGGAAAAGGCTGGATCTATGCCTTTGTGAGAAGGAACCCTATCATTAAGGTTCAGAGAAGTCGTTCTATCGATTCTAGACGCGTTAATGGGGCATCTACTGAGGTCATTAGGAACTGGTTTAAGTTCCTCGCTATCCCTGAGATCAAGGACATCAAACCAGCCAACAGATATAATATGGATGAGACTGGCATCCTCGAGGGTCAGGGAGCTAATGGGTTAGTGCTGGGTATGGCTGAGACGACGTCTGTTCGCAAGAAACAACCTGGGTCGAGGGCATGGGTCTCTATCATTGAGTGTATCTCAGCCTTGGGTAGGGCACTTCGTCCTCTTATCATTTTCAAGGGGAAGACAGCCCAACAGCAGTGGTTTCCATTACATCTCGTTCCATACGATGGGTGGGAGTTCACAGCAACAGATAATGGCTGGACTATAGACTTAACTGCCATTGAATGGTTAGAGAAGGTGTTCATCCCACAGACTATGCCTGAGGCTGAGGGGGAGGCTCGACTGCTGATTGTGGATGGGCATGGGAGTCATACGACGACAGACTTCATGTGGAATTGCTATATTAACAATATCCATTTACTGTTCTTACCACCACACTCCTCTCATGTCCTCCAGCCTCTTGACCAGTCTGTCTTCAGCCCTGTTAAGTCAGCCTATCGGAAGGAGCTCGGTTACTTGTCTCAATGGAACGACTCTACCATTATAGGTAAAAGGAACTTCCTGGACTGTTACCAGAAGGCTCGACTTGCTGGTCTATCAGTCTCGAACATCAGAAGTGGTTGGAAGTGGACTGGTCTACACCCTGTGGCGATGGTTAAGCCCCTGATGAACCCTATGGTACTACCTGAGCCTCCTGCTAAGCCCACCACACCCAAACCAACTAGTCAGGGCAGAAAGCGATGCCATAATGGTCAACAAACTACCCCTGTTGAGCCATGGGATTCTGCCTCCTCTGCAGTGGTCTGGTCGACACGCAGGAAGCTGGCAGAGCTCAGCGGTCAACTGCACTTATACACCCAACTCGACAATGATACCAGCACTCAACGGCTGCTATTCAGGAAGGTGAAAAAAGGCTTCACAGAGCAGGCCTGGCAACTGGCAGCTGCCCAGCAGCAACTAGCTCACCTGAGGGCTCAAGTTACCAACGCTGCAGTGAGGAAGAGGAAGACTGTTCAAATCGATCCCAACACGAAGTTCGCGAACATCAGGGATATCCATCGGGCTCAAATCGAAGCGGGTGAAAAGGAGGTTATCACGGCTGAATCCAGCGACTCTGAATGCCCTAGTGAGGCTGGCAGCTGTATTGTAGTGGGTGTGGTTGAGGATCAATAGTTAATAGTAATGAGGAGGTCGGGTTGTGATCCCATCGTTTTTGTGGTGCCAGAAACAGGGGGGTGCCAGGAAGTGGGGGGTTTGACTTACCGAATTGATATCCGCTGACGAAAAGCTGCGCGCGGAAGAGACTTGCCTCTCCAGTTGAAGCCGTCACATTCGAGATGACATAGCTCAAGGGGATGTCGTAGCCGATCGGCATATCCAAGGGAAACTCTGTCTTATAGAAAGCGACCCCAGAGTTCTTGGTACCCTCAAACAGTGTTACCGAAGCCCAGTCGGACGTGGGTGCTCCTGGAAGATGATAGCCTTGACGTTCCGCATAGAAGGCACCCTCATTCAACGGACCACGCGTCTTGTCAGTGTAGTCTTCGGCCCCCAAGTTGCCGGTTAGCTTCCATGTCATGTCGGACTGTTGATGACCACCGAGAGAAAAGTCGACAATGCCGCGCGGGAGCTTCATCCAGTCGGACCGCGCCCAGAAGTTCATGCTCATGCCCATGCGGTCGATGACAACAGTGAACACAGAAGGGCCAACGAGTTTCAGACTTCTCAGATCGAATAATTGCGTTGAGTTGGCAGTGTGAGAATCTCCAGCAAAGGACCCGAGGAAGGTCTCGTTGACCCAGACAGAGTGACTGTAGGCAAATCCGCCAGCTGTCGTCACACTGAAGAATAATTCGTTGCCGGACGCGGTGAAGTGGCCTCTGTAAATGAGCGAACCGCCGTGGAAGCCGTAGTCACTGCAGTAGAGAGCTGTTGGTGTTGTCAGATTTCGAAGGTTATTGCTGCGCTCCAGAGTTGCTTCAGTCCAGGCAGAATCGTCGTAGCCGTTGGAGACTTCCGGGAGCGAATCGATTGAATGGCATTCGAGTTCAGAGAAGACAGGCATGTTGAGAGTCGAGCTCTCGAACACGACCTCAGCTTGGAGCCTGCCATTCTTCCTTTGAACGTTCGAAAGGGGGACATTGTTGAAGCTAAGCGTGCTGTCCACAGGGACCCCGCCCAGAACCTCGAGAGTAGTAGTAGCATTGATGTCTCCCGTTAAGTGGAGGACACCATCAGCAAAAGTCGCATTCCGCAGAAGGTAAGGCCCTTTTGCAAGGAGTTCTGCTAGGGGGGCTGTGTCAGTTGGCTGGGGGGGCTGTGTCCCACTTTCTCGAACTCATCCGACCAATGAGAGGCCAGTGATTATTCCGACCGATTTCCACTACTGCCAATTGCCAATTGCCAATTGCCCACTTCCACTTCCACTTACCCACTTCAACCCACTTCAACCTCGCCGTCGCCGCCCGCGAAAAGTGAAGCTATCGCGACTTTTCGATGGAGGCACCGCCAATTGACCCAACTGCCCCTGCACAGTTGGAAGAGTACGATATACCCAACCAGCCGCATCTCGCACCGGTCGCGACGATTGAAGAGCTCCAGGAGCACCTGCAGGCCCACGCGCGCGAGCACGGCTTCGCTGTGATCCGACGGAACGCCGGCAACTACCGAGGGGAGCCCAGACTGCCCCCGCGCTTCAAGATTGCCTGCGACCGCGATACCTCCCGCCAGCCTCGTGGCTTCGGCACCCGCACTACGTCCACTCAGAAGAACAATTGCCCCTAGTATGGAGTTGCTTCCGCCCGAGCTTCCGACGATTGGCAGTGGTCTTTTACTCTCAAGCACGCCACCCACAACCACGCACCTTCCTTGGACCCCTCAGTCCACAAGCTTCACCGGAAGCTTACCACTACGCAGCAAACCCTTCTCGAGACCGTCTCCAAGCACAAAGCCATCAAATCACGTGAGGCAGCTACTATCGTTCGAGATGCCGTCCCTGGGTCCCTCGTCAAGCAGAAGGACATCGACAATGCCCGCCAGCGCCTCCGCCTAAAGGAACTCGATGGCCGCTCCGCGATCCAACAGTTCGTCGGCATCTTGACTAGTATGGGATATAAGCACCGCATTCAATGGTCGTTGGAGGATCCCAACCGGCCTACGGGCTTTGTCTGGACCTACCCATGGTGTGAGATCATGTGGAAGCGGTTTCCTGAGGTCATTGGGCTCGACAACACGTACAAGACTAACCGGTTCAAGATGCCGCTGTTTCAGGTAAGATCTGATGTTCAGGAGACCTCATCTCTCCTAAACTCTGCTTCTTTCTTTGGGATGTGTCCTAACACTTCCCAGGTCACTGGTACTACCGACATTGGTTCCTTGTACAATTGTGCTTTCGGTCTCATCTCAACGGAACGTCGTGAGGGCTACGACTTCTTCATCGAGTCCGTTGAGTCCATTCGGGCTGAGATTAATGCCGAGCGCCCAAAGGTGGCCATCACGGACTTTGAGGAGGCGGTGAGGTCGGCAATAATGGCCACTTGGCCCGATACCCAACTTCAGCTCTGCATCTTTCACATCAACCAGAATGTCTCTCTTAACGTCAAAAGGAAGTGGAAGGGGCCTGGAGGGCCAATCGACGAGCTCGACGTCACTCGTAATAGGGAGGCCGCAGAGGATGAGGCCATTCAGAACCTCAACGATCGAGCCCGTGCCAACGAGGCCCTCAGCCGCGGCCAGCAGCCTCAGGAGATTCCTCACACACCTACCGGCTTCTGTCAACTGTGGGCTTACGTCATGTATGCCAACACTGAGGACGACTTTGACGCTGCCTGGGACCGCCTGTTGGAAGAGTTTGCCGACCAAGACTTAGCTCTGAAGTACATCACAGACACCTACCTTCCACTGCGATATCAATGGGCCAACTGCTTCATCTCCCAGTGCGAGAACTTCGGCGTCAGGACCAACAGTCCCACCGAGACTGCCCACAAGGATCTGAAGTCGTATGTCATCAACGGCAACTCCGACTTATACGCCGTCGCCCAGGCAATTGAGGAGATGCTGCGCAACAAGGCCCGTACCTACAGGGAGAGGGTGGCGGCAATGGAGTCTCGCACTCGTTATGAGTACCTCCGCCGTGACTGGCTTGAGACCGTCTCCAAGGAGGTTGGCCTGAAAGCACTGGAGCTGATGAGTGCCCAGCACCAGAGAGCCCTTCCCTCACTGCCAACTGACCAGATTCCTCGCCCTCCCGATCTGCCGCCGTGCTCCGGCAGCTTCACGAACCAGTACCGTCTCCCGTGTAGTCACAAGCTGCTCGATCTCATGAAGCGCAAGGAGCCACTTACGAAGATTTACATCCACCCTCGTTGGTGGTTGCGTCAGCCGTTGGTAAGTTCATCTCGTCGGTTCATGGGTTGTACTGACTCTGCTGCCAAATCAGAACGTCAGAGATGCCCTGCTCAACATCAAAGACCCTGCCGTTGTCACCACTCTGCGTGGGCGCCCAAAGAACAAGAACATCGCCTACCACGGCACCTTGCCGACCCCTTCCTCCTCAGGGGCAACCACCTCCTCAGCAGCACCAGGCCGGCCAACGGCGAGGGCACCTAGACAACCTCGCAGAGCTCAGAACCCAGCGTCGCGACCAGTTAGGCAGAGCATACGCCGTAATCGGTCAGCGTTCAAGTACGACGACGAGGACGAGTTGGCCTCGCAGAGCACGCAGTCGACCATAATAGTGGGCGGAAGTCAAGTGGTGGAAGTGGAAGAAGCCCAGCGACCGGCAGCGAAGAGACGAAGTAGACGACTTCATGTATTGAAGCTCTCAGCGTTTTTCTGTGCGGGAGAGCTCAGACGAAAATCAGCGTAGTCTATCAAAGTTATGCGCAATGCACAAATCTCCTTGATACCTGCAAGGCTGGTCTTATTGCGAGAATTGACTTATCAACGTATACCTGCCACGGGTCGTCGAAAATATTGAAGCCGCCAGCATGATGTGATCATAGTGATGCTTAGGGTAGGCAACATAGATAGACCGCACTCGTGTTTATATCGGCGACGTTGGGTTGCTTAGGTTCAGCCTGCGACCGAACTCATTAGCTAAGAATAGGCAAAAGTTGCCCAAAATCATTTCAATCTGCGACGCTGCCCGCCCTATTCTCAGCTGTTCATTTCGCCAAGCAGTGAAAGTCGCGGGGGCCCAGGTGAAACCTGCGCAAGGACGACTGCAGAGTGTCATCGCTACAACCAAGAATAAGGATTTAGTTACATTTGAATCGCAGGGCCGAGTTAACCTTCTGGAAGGTGCTGGTGCAGCGCTCCAAGGCGACCTCTAAAAAGAAATCCTACCCCGGAGCTGCCCTTACCAAGCATTTTAAAAAATGGAGTGATGTAGACTTTAAGTGGTCGGGTCCTTGGGCCAGATTGCAGATCAATATCTGGCATCCCTTGCAGGTTTCATTGGTGTGGACACGAAAATCCCACCTCGCCCACACGCGCGGTTTGGCCTTTGATAAGGCGTGCAGGGCAAGCAAGGTGCAGAGCAGGCATTGAATTCTGGACCATGCACAATCCGTGCTCGCGAGGTTCACCTACCTTCTTCAGTAAGAGGAATTCGTTATCAACAAACGGGTTGCCGCATTCGTTCAGCGGAGGGTACGGGTGCGTCCCGGTCGGTGAGGAGTCGGCGAGTTGGTGGGAATCTGGGTCTTTTACAACGGATATACCTTACTATCGCAGGCAAAGAGGCCTACGGTCCACTATCAGGCCCGGTTCATGTCCGACAAGAAAGCGTTCATCCACTTGTTTGGTCAACGCTCAGCGCCACGATGGGCCGTAGAAGGCTGTTCGGACGATCGGGTGTTGTCCGAGATCTTTCGGCTCGCAAATTGTTATCGACGCCTCGAGTTCGGACTTGGGAATGGATTCAGGTTGTGCGCCGAAGTCGGACTATGACACCCGACATTTAAGCTGCTTTAAAGCATTGGATGCAGTCCAGGCTCCCCATGCAGTGCCGGTATTTGAGGCGGGCACTTAACAAGGTCCCGAGCGGGAGTCATAATCCGGATGATCAAGTGAGGCACCCCGTGGTGGTTCCTGCATTCGCGAGGCTTCCAATCGTCTTAATCAGAAGAATTTGTTGGTCCCGACGCACTCCCACCTTCCAGAAACCTGCTTGAGAGGGGCATCGAGGTTGCGGCGCATGACGCATGCAACATGGGCTTGATCAATATATCGTGTAAATCCCGGGAATCTTTGTAGTATTTTGAGTGACGAAAGAATCGGGGACAACATATTCCAAATTGACGACAAGAATGATATCCTAGCGAGTATGTGCAGTGCTTAGGTGTAGTGATATTCCTAGCTAAGATGATGCTGGAGTCCGGAGAACGCTGCGGGCATTGTTCAGTCTAAGTTGACACGGAGAAAGTCGGTCTGCAGCAGAAAGAAACGGAGTGATCCTCGCAACTCGGGTTCTTACCGCGCGTATCCGCAAAACTTTTCAGACGAACCAGCAGCCCATAAGTCACAACTGGGGCCATAATCCATCACCTTCAGGTTTCTGTCGAGATTAACATCGCAAGACGTCTCTCCTTGAGTCCTTACCCCCACGGGCCACAGCTCAGTCATCGAGAGACCGGGGAGTAGTGTGGGGCCAGAGGCCATTGTCTGTGCTCGTTATCGGTTACCAAGACCGAGAATGCACTGTCATCGGCTGCCTCACCGTTGCAGTTGAGGCTTCCACGGAGTCCAAGAGTCCTTGGCGAAGCGCGGCGATTTTCTCTGTGTGGCGTACGAAAACATTCGTGATGAACGACTGACTTTTTCCTACGCCTTAAGGCTCCGCCACGGCCTGCGTCATGTTCGGTTGCCACCGCCGGCAGCAAACTGTTTCCGGAATTTCGAGGGGCTCCCACACGGATCCGAGATTTCGTGAGTACGACCGGTCATAAGTCCGAGGGACGGGTGCTGTTACTCGACAACGCCTAAATAGGACCCCTGGTCGAGGTATCGGAAATTTTCGCGATGGAAACTGCGGGAACTATTTTCTAGTGGAATGTAGTTGAGCAAGTTGAGTGTCAGAATTTTCTTCTCAACTCCTTCTCAACTTGCGTCAGATCCATTTCAAGAAAGAGAAGGAGGGACTGAGCCGGAGGGAGCTATTGAACGAAATCTCGCTTCCAGGATACGTCATGTGCAGATGTGGTAGGTAGCATTGGAATGTGATGGGAGATGCCACCTCCCTTTTTGTGTCTCTAGCGGGAGGCTTATCCCTGTTTCTGAAGAAGAAAGCGAACAAATGTTTTTCAGACACCGGACGATTCAAGCATAATGCGCTCTCAACCGCAAACAACAAACAAACAATTAAGGGAGTTCAGAGGGAAAAAGAATGCCCGTAGAGCCAGTGCACCGGGAACCTGGGACTAACATTCAGGAACCCCCAAAGACACGTGGGCGACTTGACATCGGATGGAAATGAGGGAAGCTGGGAATCGTCCTGTTTCCAACTCTTTAATTCTCACTCACGATGCCTGGACGTCGGAAGTCGACCGAACTTCTGTAAGTGTAAAGGCCCCCAAATGTCCCTCAATCGGGGATAGGAGTCTGTCCGTGACGTGGGATCCTCCCAGGACCGGGCCAACAATTGCAATCCAGACCTCTGGGACCTTCGCTTCCCAATAGCGTTGCAGTCCCCATTCACGTTGTCACCACCCGCCCGCTTGTCCAAGCCCCATCCCGCTGGCTGGGCTGCTGTCATGTGCTCGCTAGGAGCATCGCCCACCCCCCGTGCGACGACTTGGCTCATTAACTTGGCTCCGTTATTATTCAGCCATGGTAGCGCCTTATTAAGCTACCAAATCTCCTTCCAGGGCGAGTCAATTACCCGCTCTATCCTTGTCAGCCAACTGCCAGTGGATGCCCTTTTTCTGGAGTCTGCAGAGGGGAACCGAGGGGGGAGCACAGACAGGAAGGCAGAAGAAGAAAAGGTAAAAAAACGTGAAACTAGCTCTATCCTGTCACTCGCCCATCAACCTGATACGCCAGTTCTTGGGTCGTTAACGGCACTCGCTGGTCCACCCTACAAGATCTGATAACGGGCTTCTCCCCGGATCAGGGAGGCATTGTAGCACCATTCAGCTTGGCAGCGGGTCGACGTCGTTTATCTGAGTTTGAACCATCGTTGCTATCCCACCGTCATTCTCTCATGACAGGCCCAAGTCAAGCTTCCGGATTTGGGGCCTGGATTTTCCTCTAGACCCGCCTGTCCAGGTTTCCTGGGACTACAGAGTGCCACCCGACTTGTCCGAAAGAATCGAGACAGCCCGTCCGCCAAGACCGACCTTCCCTGGATGCAGCCATTCCTCAGCGTCGGGGGCATCATGCGCAGAGACTTAGAGAGAAGCTCCCACTAGCATCTCTACATTGGAAAACGGGGCCGCCGTCCCCGTTCCTGCGGATATCTCCTGGTGCTCAACGACACCCATGGCGCAGGTCATGGAGCCCATTGGGAATAATATCTCTAAACATGTAGACCTTGGGTAGCGACCGCTTGGCCCGCTCGTCGAAGCGAATGCGGATATGAGCAAGGAGGCTCGGAGTGATGCCAAGAAACTTGCAGTATAGGGGAGAGGGGAGCTTAGAGAAGAAAAAGTTGACGTCTGGTGGTATTGTCGTGGTCATGTTAAATAAGGCTCGTAGGACCGTCTGCTTTTGCTGGTGATCAGACCTTGAGACTCAACACACACGTGCTCGCCGTCATCACTCACCCACATTCACTCATTATCTGACAACATGCGTGCTGCTCTCATCTCCGCCCTCGCGGCCGGCGCCGCCGCCACCCGCCCGTTCCTCAACGAGCCGGATACCGGTATCGAGCTTGCCCTTGGTGACCTCGCCGTTGGTGCTCTGCCCAACCTCACCCAGATGGTCGGCCTTCCTGACTTCGAGTACGCCGCTCGCAACTACCTCCCCATCAAGAACTACACCTACTACCGCAACGGTGCCGCTGGCGAATGGTCTTACCGCAACAACCTCGAGGTCTTCGGACGCTACCGCCTCCGTCCTCGTACCATGGTTGACATCACCAACATTGAGTCTACCCTCAAGTAAGTCCGAGCTTCGAGCTTCCTTTTCAGACGAACCCCCTTTGCTGGGTTCCTGGCTTTATTGCAGATCGCTGACTCGCGCAGCACCACCATCCTGGGACACAACTTCTCTGCTCCCATCTTCATCAGCCCTGCTGCCCGCGCTGATTACGCTCACGCTGATGCTGAGCTCAACCTGATGAGGGCCGCTGCTGCGGAGAACATCCTCTACATGCCCGCCCTCTACGCCGCCAAGACCATTGAGCAGATCGCTGAGGTTAAGGCCGAGGGCCAGGTCGCCTTCCAGCAGGTGTACCTCACCACCAACGAGACCGCCACCCAGGTCCTCTTCGACCGCATCAAGGCCTCCGGCGCCAACGGCATCGTCTACACCGTCGACTCCGCCGCCGATGGCAACCGTCACCGCGCTGCTCGCTTCGCTGTCGGCTCCGCTGACTCCGACTACTCCCTCATTACCTGGAACGAGTACCGCAAGCTCTCCAACATGACCGACCTCCCCATCCTCATCAAGGGCATCATGACCGTTGAAGACGCCGAGGCCGCCATCGAGAACAAGGTCCCCGCTATTATCCTCTCCAACCACGGTGGTCGCCAGCTCGACGGCTCCCCCTCTTCCCTCGAGGTCGCCCTTGAGATCTACGAGAAGGACCCCGAAAT